ATTAGTAAAGAATCTGACAACTTAAAGATCACAAAGCATGTCAGAATGTGTAGGCCCACACATGAAGAATATTTTGAGGTTGAAGTTTTCTGTACCCTGGACTGTGAGAAAAAGTCTTGGCAAAATGCCCATGTCTAATTTTTCTATGGTGCAATCAATAGATGCTATGAATCCTGACCCAACCTTATACATGGAAGGATTCTGAGTAGAGAGAAACTGTTGATCCTAATAAACAGACCCATTCAAGCCCAATACCCGCATGGGATGTCTGTGGCTTCCAGCTGCTCTGTACTGTGCAATCAGAATGCAAGGAATACCACATAATGAGTGAGAGATGGAATGGCCAGGCACAGCCACTTGGGTGGTGCGCATCTAAGGCATGCTAAGCACCTGGTGATATAGGCTGGTGCTCGTCAGATTCAGGTGCGCTGACTAGTGAGCAGTGTCAGATGCAGCCCATGTCACAAGGGCAGAAGGAACCTGGGCCTCTGAGTCTGCCAGGAAATTACCGGTGAGTGACAGGGCTGTGACTCCACATGCCCTCTGACCTCCAGGCATGATTCTTTCCACAATATGTACTTTAGCCCTTCCAAAGTGAGCTTCAGGAGACAGACAGACTGTCACACTCATCCTGAGAAACTGTCCTGACCAATTACACCTCACATTTCCATGTCTGCATCTCCCACCAAGTCCCCCCACTACGATTTGAGCAAGAAAGAACAAAGTGACTCTCAGAGAAATTGTGGACCAAAGAACAAGAATCAGCTTTGGATGGAGTCCCTGTGAATAAGTTATATGCCTCCTTGGCTCGTTGTCAACCCAACTCGTCTCACTCATTTTCTGAGCACACTGGACCACTTTTGCTTTTGTGAGGTGGGAGGGATGCCCGAGGGACCATAATTCAAGAGGCTCACTTGAGGAGCTGACTCAGTCTGCAGGGTCTTTGGCAGATGGTTATGCCTGGGCATGTGCGTTACTCCTGAGTCCCCTTTCTGAGCAAAGCAGCGTCCCTGTGCTGCTGTTTCTCCAGGGCACAATGATGAGGGGAGGACAGTAGCTTGCACTGTGCTGATGTAGGGAATGTGGAATTTGTGTGGCTACTTGATTAATCCTGGCCACTACACAAAGGAACAAGACATACCAGAAGGAACAGGACACACCAACTAGAACCTTCTAAAGAGACTCTGTCAGCACTCTGAAAATCAAATCTTGTGGATACAGCTGCCCTGAAGAGCCGATAACTGCAGAAAACAGCTCAGATGGCAGTTCCTTTAATTTTGCTGGCTTTTCTAGCATTGCTCATTTCTGATTCATGTCATACAAGTCCGTATGTGACAACTGTCAAGGAAGAACTTGGGGCTGTGCCTTTAAACAAGCATTGTTACTGTGTTTCTGATTATATTAACAATGCCCCTCTGCTTCTCTCTCATGTACACACACACAGATGCATAAACACACATACACACACATTTTAACTCATCCTAGGCATTGTCAAGAGCACACACTCAAAGTTCCCAATGAGCACATTTGTCTATATTTCCATATTTCTGGCTGTTAGGTGACTCAATACTAATTCAGGTAACAATTTAAATGTGTCCTTGATGACTAATTGTGAAGATCTCTGTAAAATCTAAATCAGAGGGACAGTTACTAAACATGGAACTAGGTTACTAAGGGAAGTTGTATAGTGTTTCCCTGGGGTTTCTTAAAATAAGACAATGACTGTCTTATAGAAGATTCTAGGCTCCTTATAGAAGGAAGAAACCCTGGTTTAGCAGTCAGGATATTCTAACAAAAAGTTTCAGTTTTTCTGCTCACAGCCACCACTGAAGAAGTTTTTACCCAAATGGCATTTCAGTTCCTTAGTGCCTTCCTTGCTGCTGCTTCATAGTCAGAAGAGTTGGAAATCATTTTTGGTCTGACTAACCAGGGGTGAAATGATCAGTAGCCCTCAGAGCCTGATTAACTCACTGCAGTGCTGCTACACCATGAAAGTAAGGGAAGTATTATTATTACTAATATTGAAATTATAACTGCCGTGTCAGAACAGTCATTATGTTAGGCACTGTGCTAGTTCTTTACACATACCTTCTCCTCTGAATAACATTAAAAGACGAATATTTATTACATCCATTTTAGAGACTATTGAGTCTTGTAGACGAGAATATGCTGCTGAGTGTTACACAGCATATTCATACCAAGGGAAGTCGGACTCTAGATCCTGTGCTTTGAATTCCCACAAAGTGTAGCTAAGCATGTCAAAGCATGTTTCTATGCAATCTCACTGAAGCTGTGCCTGTCTGTGGTTCTCAAGATATTATGTGGTCTGTCCTGGATTTGCCTTAGTTTCCACAGACACTAGAGAGGTTTGCCTATAGTGTCATATTTTCCATCACTATACAATGAGAAAGAACTTCATGACTATCAACTGTTCAATAAGTTCAAACTTTCATTAGAAAAAGAGAAGTTCTACTGCAAGAAGTGTTTGTAAAGGCAATAATCTCTTTTAAAAATTCTCAAGAAGATGTGCAGTGGTGTGGGAATGGGAAAGGAGGACACCTGAGGATTACTCATTCATTTAAACTTAGTGAACCAGGTAGATGATCAATCCAGTTATAAAAGTTGAAGTATGACTGAGAAAATACTGATGCTGATTGTCTTAGGCAATACTGTGACCTGTGTACTGCCAGTGTTCACCCTGTTCTCCATCATAACCAGCCGGGGTTTCATCTCTGCTGTCCATCAGGGAGTTCACACAGAGACCTTCTCACATACCACCTTTTCAAAGACCATATCCAAGAAGGGACCAAGACAATGACCTCAAAGTAATTCATGAATTCAGCAGCTGGTGAACTTTGCAGCAAGACAGATGGTGGAGCTGATGATGCTGCATGAAGTGTTTCCCCTGTTGGCAAGACTGTCAGAAATGTGCTCTTCTGCTGTTTCTCTTTGAAGGAGCTGGTGGGAGGAAAGATCCTTTTCTGGGTATCTGTAGCATACATTGTTTTTTAAAGAATATATAGGTCAGTAATTAACATGACCTTGATAGACAGATTTTATACCTATTATTAAAGGTGAAAATTTAGCTTCATGATGAAGGGAACAACATATTATTTGCTAAGAATGCTTAAATTCATTTTACCTAAAGTCCTGTTTCTTTTTCTGGCTGATTGAGTCATGATGGCTTGTTGCCATGTACAGCTAAATGTAGCCCCCCCAAAAGGTTTCTTTTCTGTTCCTATTGTTACAAATGTTTTTGCTGAGATAAAGATCCAGATTGTTGTCAATGACTCCATTGTCCTTGAATTGTCTGTATGCAAATTGTGAAAAAAGAAATCAGTTAAGACATCCATTAAGTTATTTAGGAAATGTTCATTATTTAAGTGCTTGTTATTTGTTAGGCAGATTTATATGCATGCATATAGGCTTTTTTTATCCTCACAATAATGCCTTGAGATGAATTTTATTAGAGACAGTGAAACTAAAGTTGAGTTCAGCTGCACTAGGTTTCCAGGTCACCAAACTATAAGTGATAGGGAAGGCCAGTGTTTCAGTCAGTGTCTAGGCAGCTACTCTATCTCCTGAGCACTTCTTTGCCAAGAGACTGTGTTTCTCAGTCCTCTTGATGAGAAGTCCAAGGACCATGTAACATGGCTTAAAATGCTAATGAGGTCAACAAACATGAGAAAGGCACCAGGTTGATCAGATATTAATGTATCAAATGTGACACTGGTGTTGTGCTGCCGTAGTACAAGCTGACACTTGGGATGCCAACATCCCTAGTTCCAGTCTCAGCTACTCTGTTTCTGATATAGCTTCCTACCGATGTGCCTGGGAAATAAAGATGGTGACACAAGTGCTTCCACACATTATGGAAGGCCAGGATGGAGTTCCTGCAGGTCTCTTGGTTTCAACCTGGCCCAGATCTCTTGACTGTTAAAGTCATTTGGAAAGTGAACCAATGAATGACAGATATCACTCTCTCTTCTTCTTTCTCTCTCTAATGCTCTGACATTCAAATAAATAAATCTTTCTGAAAAAAGTTGAAACTATCTTAGGACATTTAGTTCAGTTCCATTTTTATTGTATTCATTTATGGGTTAATGCTTCAGTTTTAGTTATTAAATCTCTTTATTTCAGTATCTGGTAGAACTAGATCCTGTTTAATTGCATTTCTCCCCCATTGGGTGTTTTTCCCACTTTGGAATTAGTTAATGTAGCTCAAAATATTATTATGATTTTTTGTTTTATCAATGTGTAGGTTAAATCAGGAAAAGTTATATCTTGATAATAAATTGTCTTCCTCTGAGAGCAAATTGAGGTTTTTCATTTGTATTAGTGTTCTTTGTGTTTCTCATTGCTAATGTCTCTGCTGTCCTTACTAGATGATAATAGCACATCTATCTCCTGTTTTGCATAATATCTCCCTCTCAGTTAGTATCTCTATTTCAGTGTTACTTTGATTTCTTCTATTGCTTCTCTCTCTTTCTTTGTTTCCACTTACAAGCACACATGCCACTTCCTTCATCAAGGACAGTTGAAGCACATGAAATGCAGTGTTGTAGCCCTTCATTGACAGGTGCACAATAAGGTGTCTTCTACCTAGAAAAGCACTGCAATATGAATCACTCAGTTGATCATTGGCTTCATGATGCAGATATCACCCTTGTCTGTTTTGTTCTTTGTGTTTTGCCAAGCATCTACAGCACACTTGGCACATGGTGGCACTAGATAAATATTTGTTGGGTCCAGGAGTGAAAGAGCCTATATGTGCTTCCCCAGATTTTGTTGGAAGACTACCAAGGCTGCTCCAACAAAATCCTTGGGTTAAAGTGCTTCACAGCTGAAGCTAACTTCTTTTGTTGTAGGAAGTCTGTTGTGAAGAGAAGTGGTGTATAGAGTGCAATTATCTTCCCATGTGTGTTACACTGACCTATTTCTCCAACAGAGTGTTAATAATAAATACCCAAGGCTGAAAACTCATAACCATATTCCTTTCTGCTTTTTGCAGACAAAACCCTGAAACTCTCTCTAACATGATGATGGCTCCCAAGCTGTGTTCTGACAGATGGGTACTTCCTCAGCTGTCACAGGCCTATGGAAAGACTCCAATCAATGTGTGCTGTAAGTTATCAATGAACAATCATCTTTCTTCTGAACCGCGCCACACAGCAAGGCATTGTCTCTTCGGTGGTGCCGTATTTCCTGGCAGTGTGGGATGCAAAGCGTGTGCAGGAAGCAGTCATACTGTGGTTTTACACCGGAGCTCAGGTTGCCTCTTATGAATATGCATGATGGGACTGCTGCTCTGGCCTCCTGAATTTACATGAGCTAAACTTAACCCCCACAAACCCTTCGCCTGCCTAGCACTTCTGGAAGACGTTCCTTCAGGAAGTTTGAAAAAGTGAGTTGTTTCTCCAATTGTGGAGCATTTTGTATGATTGTTCTCTAAAAGATGCTGACCAATTGCATCCTGTTTTATTCTCTATGAGTCATTTGCTAGTTTTTTATATATAGATAAATAATATTTTCCCCACTTTACTTAGAAGCAGATGGGAAAGTTCAAAAGAGCACTCTCTGGAACTAGGGTCTGCATGGTGGGCTGGCGCTTGCTGGAATCCCAGATAAGCAGCTCCAGCAGAAGGAAACACGCAGATGGAGAGGTCCCTGCAGAGCAGGCTGCACAGTGGTTTTCTTTGTTTTAGAACCGATTGCCATTCTGCTTTAACCGTGAACCCTGTGTATTCGTGAGAACACAGAAAACAAACCGGAAATCTTTTCCATGATTCATAAAACAGGTCATTGGCTCTAAAGCATACTTGGCCGGCCGGGAGCTCTCACTTACCTACTTGCTAATCTGTTACGTGTTGTCTGTGCATGAGGAAGTGGGGGAGGGAAGAGGCAGTGTTCCAGGAAGCCACGTGCTGAGCAGCATGTGCTGGGAACTGCCAGCATGTGTGGCTCCCTGATTTGGCGCTTAGACCCCACTCCTGGCTGTCACACTTCTTGATGCAGATGAGGAGTAGCGGGCTTGTTTTTCCTGGTCAAGCAGTAATGAGGGAGAAACAGGCAAAGTCCGCTGCTCTGCGGTTGTTGTGCTGTTGATACAAGAGCAATGCCAGACAGCACTTAGCCTCTGGGAATATTTTCATTACTCTATGAGGTCCCAACCTTTCCAAGAGAGAGCCAGGACTGATATTTGCGTCAAGTGACAAAAGGCAGGGAACAAAAGGACTTTCTAGACTCATAGTCATATTTCTTCCCTGGCTGGAAGCCTCTTCCTGAGGTCTGTTTCTCGCGAGTTGGGGCTGAGCTGCTTACCAGGTTCTGAGGAAGTGTCTGCGTGTGCTGGCTTGAGTGCTAGAACTTTTCCTGTATAACAGTCATGTTTTTTTTAAGATTGCTTAGGGCTGTGCTTTGCCTTTAAGCTTCATGATTTAAGAACTGATGATTTTGCCTCATTGTTAAGTGGTGAAATAATGGGGTCAATGTGAGGGTAACAGGATTTAAAACTTGAATTTGACTGGTGTCTGTCCTCTGGAAAGTGGTGAAGAAAAAAAATAAAAGAAGGAAGGAAAGGAAGAGAGAAGAAAGGAAGGAAGGAAGAAAGGAAGGAAAAATGATTAAAGGAGACATTGTTGACAGAATCAATGTATCTGGGCTAAACCCTTTCACATGGTCTTCCCATGCTTGCCTTGAGATTGGAGCCAACACTTACCTTTACACAGTGTATGGCTTTGGCCAGGTACAGTAGCCTAGGACTAAAACCCTCGCATTGAACGCATTGAACCTTGCAGGATCCCATATGGGCACCAGTTCTAATCCTAGCAGCCTCGCTTCCCCATCCAGCTCCCTGCTTATGGCTTGGGAAAGCAATTGAGGATGGCCCAAATTCTTTGGACCCTGCACCCGCGTGGGGGACCCGGAAGAAGCTCCTGGCTCCTGCTTTGGTTTGCCTCAGCTCCAGCTGTTGCGGCCACTTGGGGAGTGAACCATTGGACGGACGATCTTTCTCTCGATCTCTCCTCCTCTTTGTATATCTAACTTTGCAATAAAAATAAATAAATCTTCTAAAACAAAAAGAGTGTATGGTGTTTGAGGTATAGGAGCAAAAGAGCATTTTATCAGCCATTTAAATAAGCACTCTTCAGAGTCTGCTCCCCAAAAGTGAGTTTATTTTTCTTTCATTAATGCACTTCATATTCTGTCTCCAATGATAGAAAAATTCAAGTCCTTGAGACTTTTACAGACAGTGATCTGTTTGACAAGTTTGTGGGTTCTGTGCTTCCTGCGACCAGGTACCTTCACTACCTTTGTTCTGTTCAGCTTTCCTGGACCTCATAGCATGATCCAGGTCTTGGAAGCGTGCTGTGGTTCGCAGTTCTGAAAGTTTGCTGTTCAGAGCAGTCCTCACACCCCTCCGAGTGAGCTCCCCGTGCTCCCGGTACACCTTTCTCATGAACGCCAACAAATGCTTCTACACTTCCTGTCTGACAGCCTGGGAAGAGGCTGCAAGTCACATACTGGGCCTTGTTCAATTCTGAACTGAGGGAATAGTCAAAATTTTTAGTAAATATTTGTAGAATAAATGAATGTTGCCCCAAAGAGCTTTATTTATATTTTCTAACCTTTGACCTTCTATTTTCAGAGGACTGGCTTTTAACAGTTAGTCAATGTGCTGGTCAAAGTTTACATGTATTTATAACTTAAACAGATGTTGCCAGATTGCTTTTCAAAAAAGGCTAAAACAACTCATTCTCCCACATCACCAGTAATAGCTTTATATTAATCTTTTAAATATTTGCCATTAAAGGCTATCCCATTGTTTAATTTTAATTTTTTTTCTGGCTATTAATGTGTTTGGCTATTTTTATATGTGTTTGTTGGTTTAGATTTGTTGTTCTGTGAATTAATTTTTATATACTTTACCAATTTTTAACGTGTAAAAATTTGCATTTAATACTGTATACAGATGAAAAAAAAATAAGACTTTTATATCTGTAAATTTCAAGTCCAGGTATATATGCTACAGAAGTACTTAGATATGTGAACAAAAATAAATGTGTAAGCATTTCATTAGAACATTGTTAATAATAAGAAGAAATAAAATTAAGTTATACAATTTGTATTGGATAGTCCTGTCTCAAATTAAGCAGTCATACATACACAAAATGGAAAAATGATTTTCTGATTGGGTTTAAAAATGATTAGATATTGATTAGATATTATTGACTTGTTGCAGCAAGGAAATAGAAATCCTGAAAGCTAAGTCAAGTTCTAAAAGTTGCACTAAATTTTTCTCATTAGGGATAAAAATGATTTTAGATCCATTTTTCATTACTGTCCTAAGATATCCAAGGTAGCTAACTTATAGAGAAAAACATGTGCTTTCACTCACAGTTTCGAGGCTAAAAGGCGAAACTATGCAGTGCAAGCTTAGGCTCTGGCAAGGCGGACTAGCAGGGGTGATCCCAGGGCCCAGCAGGTGAAGAAATGATCCCTTGGTGAACCCAGAGGCCGACTCTTGGGCTAACTCATCACTCCGGAACTCTCCAGTGACTGAACGCCCTCCTCTAGGCCCTCCTCTGAAGGTCCCAGCACCTTCCATCAGCTCCGCCCTGCAGACCCCGGCTGTAACTTACAGATCTGTAGCAGACTGTCTACATCTAAACTGTGGCAGTGAGAAGGAAAAGTTAAAAAATCAAGGGGAAACTCCAATAAGAGTCCTATAGGTTCGGTTAGTTCTGGTAATTAACAAGATACGAAATATGTTATTTGTCCATCTTGTATCATACTTTCTCTACTACTTAGAGGAATTTTTTTAAAACGCTGATATCTGTAGGCATAGTTTGCACTTCAGATAGGTAAACACTGTGTTTGTAGAAAAAGCATTTGCTAGAGTCCTTATCTATCTTTGCAGATCCTCTCTGTTGGGTTCCTTAACTTCCAAAATAATTTGCTAGTAGGCAAAAAATAAGTACTTTCTTTAGTTTCCTGAATCATTAAATTTCTCTGCCACATAGTTTTTGACCAGCTTATAGAAGACAGTTGAATAAAACCCAAAGGTATGCCAAGTTATCTGTCTTTATGGGTGATTTGTCTTTAAAGAAATACATACTTTTCTTACATTTATGTTTTTTCCTTCTCAAAAAGATAATTTTTGCAGTTTTCACAACTTGGACATTTAGACATAGGTATGTGAATGTTTTTTATGTGTGTAAACTCATGGAAATGGGAGCTGGCTGGATGTATATAAAAGTTTTTTAAGATTTATTTATTTTTATTGTAAAGTCAGATATACAGAGAGAAAAAACAGAGAAGAAGATCTTCCGCCTGATAATTTACTCCCCAAGTGACCACAACGGCTGGAGCTGAGCCAATCTGAAACCAGGAGCCAGGAGCTCTTCTGGGACTCCCATGTGGGTTCAAGGTCCCAAGAATTTGGGCCATCCCCAATTGCTTTCCCAGGCCACAAGCAGGGAGCTGGATGGGGAAATGGGGCTGCTGGGATTAGAACTGTTGCCATATGGGAATCCTGCATGATTCAAAGCAAGGACTTTAGCCACTAGGCTATTGCGCTGGTCCTTCAGGAGTGCAGGAGTGGTGGGACAATTCATTTGCTTCCAAGTACTTGTATGTTTACATTATACAATTCATTTGATTCCAACTATTTTGTATAATGTATAAAAACTAGTATATTTTCATTTTTATCTGGATTTCGTTTAAAAAGCAAATGTAAGTTAACTAAATTTTGTATTTTGGTGTCTTCTGAATCTGTTAGAAAACTGCTCTAGTAGATTGCAGCTTTGTGGAGAGGGGAGGCCCCTAGATCATTGGATAGTTTCCTGGATAATCAGGCAGTCTATTTAGAAAAAAAAAATCAACATCAAAAGGCACTACATATCCTGTTATATTTTAGATATGAAGTATTATACTTATGCTATATTTCTTTCTAGTATGTCAGCTCTGGCCATTCACTGGCATGATAAAACACCACAGCAAAGGATTCCCTTTCATGTTTTCCCTCTCTACGCTCAGGGCCGTCCAGGCTGCCCACCCACCCTCCATTGTTTCCCTATCCATGTCCTCCCATTCACTATGGGTATTGCATCCACTTACCTTTATTCCCAACAATTAACCTCCAAATACTTCACTTCATTTGAATTGTTTTCCCTTCACTGTTCAGGGCTAGAGCTTCAGCGGTGTCTGGCTTGCTCACTGTTTATTTTCTAATGTGAAGAATATTTTACTGTGAACATTCAATAAATATTTGGGGAATGGATGAGTGAATGATTGGATCTATAGAGTAGATGAGGAGGCGTGTGATAAGGGAACAGGAGGGTGGGTGAGCAGCTGGAGTTTGCCAGCGCTGTGGAGTTGTGACAGAGCTCAGGTTATGCCATT